CTCTCTTACTCTCTCTCTCTCTCTCTCTCTCTCTCTCTCTCTCTCTCTCTCTCTCTCTCTCTCTCCTCTCTCTCCTCTCTCTCTCTCTCTCTCTCTCTCTCTCTCTCTCTCTCTCTCTCTCTCTCTCTCTCTCTCTCTCTCTCTCTCTCTCTCTCTCTCTCTCTCTCTCTCTCTCTCTCTCTCTCTCTCTCTCTCTCTCTCTCTCTCTCTCTCTCTATCTCTCTCTCTCTCATCTCTCTCTATCTCTCTCCTTCTCTCTCTCTCTCTATCTCTCTCTCTCTCTCGATCTCTCTCTCTCTTTCTCTCTCTTATCTCCTCTCTCTCTCTCTCTCTCTCTTCTCTCTCCTCTCTCTATCTATCTCTCTCTCTCTCTCTCTCTCTCCTCTCTACTCTCTTCTATCTCTCTCCTATCTTCCTTCTCTCTCCCCTACCTCTCCTCTCTCTCTCTCTCTCTCTCTCTCTCTCTCTCTCTCTCTCTCTCTCTCTCTCTCTTGCTCTGGTGCCCTTCCCTCCTCCGCTCTTCTCGCTATTTCATTCTTACAATTTCTCTATTTCTTCGGAGAGAGAAAGGAGAGATAGAGACGGATAGACTGAAAAGTCCCTGAATACTACGTTTTCTGTTCACCCTCTCCGACATGCCTTTGAAGTTCCGAGTGGTGAACTTCAAGCGGTGTCCCATAACCGTTTTTGTTTTCATTTATCCAGATGCACCATGCAATTCAAATGAAGCCGGCGGACACAGAAAACCGAAATGGTAAGGATTTCCAGGCCCGGGTGGATTGCGGACAATACTTTAACGCTGTTGTACCGGTTGAATGCCCTACGAGATGTTGTTTGTTTGTTTGTTTGTTTGTTTGAATGTTTGTACGAGATGATACACCAGGCCCATGCCCACCGCATGTCAGCCTAGCACCGCGTGTCTTGCATACACAGCCGGCACAACGCAGAAAGTTACGAAATTGTCCGCTTTAGAGCTAGTTAACAACTTCATCCGTGACACCATCCCGCACTTCTGCCTTCATGAACGTGCTGATCTTTGAAGATGTTTTTCGACCACTGCACGTGTACATGAACGTGCTGATTTGTGACGATGTTTTTCGACCACTGTACGTGTACATGAACGTGCTGATTTGTGACGATGTTTTTCTACCACTATAGTTAAACTGTAGTTAGTGGTAGGTAGTATATGCGTGTTAAATACGTGCACCCTGCCCGTGGTAGTTTCGAAAGGCTATTAGAGACCCTTACTACGAGAGGCCCTTTTTACGTGAGTTATACATAATGGGCTTAGGATAAATACCTGAAAACACTAACGGAGGAAACTGTTTGCGTGCACATGTGATTTCAACTCATTTGACTCCGTGCTGTTGGCAGTGGCCGGTTCTCTTCAAACATAACCGTAAAACTTAGATAAATGTCAGTATTACGCAAGACCGATTTCAGCTGATCTGAGTACAGCATGCATTGGCCTAGTACCGCCATTGAACCCAGCCTAACGTTTATTCTCTTCGCTCCGAAGTCCACGCATTGTGCAGTTCACCGGGAGATGGCGAAAAGTTGGAACAGTTTGAAAGTTCTTTGACGACTGTATTCGACTCACGCTAACGGATGGCAGGATCGAGCCATCCAAAGCCAGAGCCTGAAGCCCATTGCGCGGTCGGTGGTGTCAGTGAAATGGAAATTGCATTAGCCGAAATGTTCGGTGTTGCCTCAACTCCCTGGTTTAGGGCGTAGTGAAGTTGATGCGGCGCGTGACATCGCACGGTGAAAGCACAAACCTCGACTGACTGTTAATTAACTTTTTATACTGCGACCAAAAGTCGGAGCGCCTTAAGGTATTAATTTGAATCTATGGTGAGCTGCCCTCCGGGTAAATCAACGAGGGTCTGCAATGGACGGTCAAACGTAGCCGCGCAGTCTGATACTAATGTTAGTCTGCGGTGGACGGCTAAACGTAGCCGCGCAGTCTGATGCTAATGCTAGTCTGCAATGAACGGCCAAACGTAGCCGCGCAGTCTGATGCTAATGCTAGTCTGGAGTGGACGGTCAAACGCAGCCGCGCAGTCTGTTAGTCTGCAGTGGACGGTCAAACGTAGCCGCGCAGTCTGATGCTAATGTTAGTCTGCGGTGGACGGCTAAACGTAGCCGCGCAGTCTGATGCTTCAAGTTCAACAAGATCTTTTCACCAGTGTTTCAATATTCGGCCATTCGGATAGCAGGGATGTCAAAATGGGGTCGAGGGGCAGCTGTCTAGCAGCCAACAAGTTGTGGAGGCCGCCAGGAATTCAGAGTTCTTGTTGCATGAATTTATATTTACATCCTGCACATCCAATTGTATGCATTTTAAAAAGCTGCTCCTCGCACGTAACTGTTATTCTGTCTAGACGTCGGTGGCAATGAGCAAAATCTTTACTACAGCGAGCGCCTGCCCATCCATGGATGGCACTCTCCGCCGCCGGACTCGCTGCGAGCCGCGTTCGCCGCTGCTGGCGGCGGCGCGCAGTGCTCCGCAGCCCGACGACTCCCACACTCGGCCGACCCTTCCATCTGCACGAGTATGGGCGGCCGCCGAGCGCCGTCTTCCCCGGCTATTTACCGTCGCGAGGTCGGCCTTTGAACGGGGCCGTTGTTTCGTTTGTTTAGGCCGGGGTTGGGTCATTATGAGCGGGCTGAGAGGCCGACGAGACCGGCCCGCGCCGAGCGTCGCCCGGAAATCGAGCCGCGCCGAGTGCAGCTGCGGCTGAGATAGAGTCCGGATAGAACGCGGAGAGTCCGGATAGAACGCGCACAGAGTCCGGATAGGACGCGGATAGAGCTCGGATGCAGCCGGAAAGAGTTCGGTTGCAGCTGGAGACAGCAGGTAGGGAGATGGCGTAAACTGAGGGCAGAGCGCGTCTTTAGTTAGGATGCAGCTGGGGTTGAAGGCAGCTAGTGTTGGTAGAGTGGGGAGAGAGGCCTGACGCCGGCTGATTTGACTGCAAGTCAGCGATTCTACTGCTGAGATAGGCATTGGAAACGAACAGAGTCAGGTGACTGTAGACTGCAGGTGGCTGGTGCTGCAGCCAGCGAAAGGGTAAAACGTTGGCAAACCGGTGGCCAAACTACAGCTCCAGGCATCACGACAACGCTTCAGATGATCACGACGTTATCGACCGGGCAATGGCACCTGTAAAGCATCCAGAAGCCTGCTATTATGCATGCTCTGACAGTTCGCTAGGACTCATGACCCTCGATAAGGTATTCAAACGGGCCTTTAGTTTAGCTGCTGACTGCTCCCGAGAAGGCTTGCCGTGCGTCGAACGCTGCGCTGCCGTGGGAGATCCGCGCCCACCCTTCCCTGCCAATCGGCCGGCGCTCCATTGTCGGGGGGGGGGGGGGGGGATGGGGCGCTCCTGATCACGCGGCGGCTAATCAGCCGCGGAGCTCAGCCGCGCCCTCCCGCCGGCGCCCGGCGTCCGGGGCCTCTCCGGCCATCGACCGCGTCGCGGGCGGCCTCGCCGCACCACGCGCCGCCCCGGACCAGCCTGGTGACGCCGTCACGTGACGGGAGGCGGCGGCTTCAAATCATCCGGGCAGCGTCCACTGCCAGTCAGGCCGACAGTTATCGATGCTTTCAGTCGGTGGTTGCGGGGAAAAGACGTCTCGAGTGATTTAACACGCGCGGAATTTGGCAAAGCGGGGAAGGAGACGCTGGATGTGCCCGGCGACCGCCTCTGTTGATTGATGCGCGGCTAATATCGGCAGGCTGCAGATGGGAAGAGCAAACTGTTTGTGTAGCCGCTGTCGCAGTTTGATCTGTTGGTTACTGCGCTTGGAAGGCTCATTCGACGGGAGGCGAATTGAATTCACAAGCTGCCTGATCGCCATCCACCAGACGCCACTGAAGCTGTTCAGCCTTTCATGAGCTGACTCTTTGTGCTTTCCGAGCAGCCGTTTTCCTTTCTCCTGACGATTTCTGTATTTTCAGAGCGAAAGCTGTTTATTGGCATGCTCAGCAAGAAGTACAATGAGAATGATGTGCGAGAAATGTTCGAGTCGTTTGGACAAATCGAAGAATGCACTGTACTCAGAGACCAAAGCGGCATCAGCAAAGGTATTGCGTCGTGAGATGAGTTCCCTGAGCATACCGAGCAGGGTTGAGTGATAAGCTCACCATCACAGTCTGTGTGGACCAGAATTTTTCTCCTGATATATCTTGAAATAATTTTCAACATGACGGTGTACCATAATTTTATTATTTTACCATAATTTGTCGTACCACTGGTGATAAAGCAGCTTGATTCACGTGGCGTGCGCAGTATATGAGCCATCACATTCTGCCTCCGCTCCATCTGCACGTGCGCTGTTGTGAAAGGCGGTCCGCATCTCACCGGCTGGCTGCCGACAGGCTGCGCGTTCGTCACGTTCGGCTGCAGACAGTACGCCATCGCCGCCATCAAGAGCATGCACCAGGGGCAGACGATGGAGGTGAGACATTCAGAGGCGTCACGGCACGTCACCGTTCCCCGTGCTCGCCAGCGCCATCACTATGCTAATATTTCGTCACCGTCTGCTCGTGTAGTCCTCTGATGCTCCGCATGATCCAAACGGCCACTGTTCTGAACGACACAACGTCGCGTCTGCAGGCAACCTGCTGCTTTTGCTCACCATTAGTCAACTGTCCGGGGCGCCAGTCACCAAAAGTCGTGACGGATTGATGCCCTGCTGCTTTGTAAGGGACTCGCGTTGGTATGAGCGCGGCAGAACTGGTCAGTGCTCTCCGGGTCCATTGCCCAGGCGGCACCGACCGCATGCCTGTTCCTCAGGGCTGCTCGTCGCCGCTGACCGTCAAGTTCGCCGACACGCAGAAGGAGAAGGACGCCAAGCGTCTGCAGAGTGCGACCCCCGCCCTGTGGGGAGCGCCCGGCGTCACACCCATGAGCGTCAACCCTCAGTACCTGGCCGTGAGTGCAGCATCGCTGGTGCTTCACCGACGCAGCTCCACGGTATCCACGGTGCTTGACCGTGGATAACAGTCCCCTCCCCACGTCAGGTGTCCGGTTGCCTCCAGGGCACGCTGGAATGGCCGGCAATAGAATTCGGAGCATTTGTTAGCGCCGCGTCGTGGCGTCGAGTTCTGATGCACATCTCGTGCGGACCGTTGTCACACGGCTGGTGGGGGGGGGGGGGGGGGGGGAGGCGAGGCGAGACTCCAGCTCACACCCCACCGGTCTCTGCCATCGGCGCACGCCGCCAGTCATATCGCTCGGAGCACGAGGCCGTGACGTCACTCGGGTGACTGAGAAAAGCGTGCACGACGGCACAAAGTTGGCATCGTGCCAGGCGTGCCAGGTGGTGCGCGCTTGTCAAGCAAGTGACTGAGTTGCATTGGCGTGAATAGACGAGTGGTGGTTGAGATCAGCAGGAGCTTATGCAAATGAGCGCATTTGCAGCGATAAAGTTTCTACAAATTTAACATAACTGCTGGGCCACTAAGACAACTAACTGGGGTATTAGATTAACTTAGGTGACCGAAACTTTGGACTGCCGCCTTTGTCTCGGGTCTATGGTACTCGAGCAGAAGTTCGGGACGTCAGCCTGTTATACTTACTTTAAGCTGATAGAAGCTTCGACTCCCCTGACGACAAATAGCATTCTTTTGAAGTCATGCGAGTTTGGAATGGAGTCGCGCTTTTGTCTGATTTGTCCGATGGATCCATCCTACACGTGACCTGAGCTATATATTCGTATTGGTGTTGCCAGGGTCTCGCGCGGTTGCTGGGAGCGAGCGTGACGCTCAATGACGTCACACCCCAACACCGGAAGCCAACGGTATCCAAAGCCACCAATCCATCAATCAGTAAAACACCCGAGCGCTCGCGCGCGCGGCAAAACCCAAAATGTCTCCAAACACGCCACCTGCAACGCCGGAAGACAGTTCGCATGAGGGAGAGGAGGCACCAGCGGGCCGGAAATAGCCGGCGCGTCATCACAATGCCCGCGAGGCGGCGCCGCCGGCGCCGGCCGTGTTTACCCTCGAGGGCCGGCCCGGCCGCCGACCCGACCGGCCGGGTCGTGCACGGGGCGCACTTAATCCGCCGGCAGCGGCGCGTTTGTTTTTCATCGGGCCGTGTACACGTGTAAGCTGTCGGCGCTGTCGGCCGTTGCCGACGCCGTCGGCCGCCGGCCGGTCCGGCGTGCGTCGCTGGCGGTGCCGCGCGCGGAGCTCGCGGCGGAGGCGAGGAGCCCACGGTGGTGGTGCGGGGCCCGCCGCCACAGCGGAGCACGGGACGCGGAAGTCGCGGCCCCGCCGGGGGGAGGGGTGAGGCGTGTCACACTGTCAGCGAAGGTGACACGCGACGAGCCGCTGGCACGGCGGGGACTCACGGATGGTCTTGGCATGCACCCGATCTGTGCAGATGACGACTTATAAATAGTCTAGCCTGCCGCGAAGCGGCGCGAGTCGCCGCTCCAGCTGGCCGCTCCTCGTCACCAGTGAGAGCCCGCTGGCAGGCCCGGCACCTCTGACACCGACTGTTGCCACTTCGCGAACAATTCTAGATATTATCTACGCCTGATGCTGATGTGATGTGTCGTACTCACTCAACCAGCCTCTGAAAAAGAAATGGGAGCTAGAGCGTAATAATCTCACTCATCTGCTTTACTTTTGCCCCATCTGTCACCTTTTTGCTTAGGACCGTCGTAATCGTTGACCTTTACTGGTCGCTCGTCCGCCACCAATGAGGACCGGTGTCTCAGTACCCATCTCCGCTGCCACACTGACCTCAGTTGACCCCTGTACCCATCTCCGCTGCCGCACTGACCTCAACTGACCCCTGTACCCATACCCGCTGCCGCACTGACCTCAGTTGACCCCCGTACCCATCCCCGCTGCCGCACTGACCTCAGCTGACCCCTGTGCCCATCCCCGCTGCCGCACCGACCTCAGCTGATCCCTGACCCGGCTGCTGCTGCGGCGGCTGACCCACGCTTTGTGCCGTGCCCCAGGTCCTGCAGCAGCTAAACGGCGGGGGTGGCCTGGCGCCACTTGCCTCCATGGCCGGTCTAGCCGGCATGCCGACGCCGCAGATGATGCCGCCCCAGCTGCAGAACGGACACGGTACGGCCGGCACCGGTGACGGCACGGCCGGGCGGCCGCCCAGCGAGCTAGTATGGTGCTCTGCCCCGCCAGCCGCCCGAACTAGGAGGGGTCACTGTCAGCTGGTCTGGCGCTCTGCTCCGCCAGCCGCCCGAACTAGTAGGGGTCACTGTCAGCTGGTCTGGCGTACTGCTCCGCCAGCCGCCCGAACTAGGAGGGGCACTGCCGGCTTGGACGTTTCAAATTCTTACGTGTTGTGTTCGTAGCGGAATCACCACCCAACTGGCATTAGAAGCTTGGACTCAGGCTGCTGATTCTCGTGGCGGTGTCAACATCGACAGGCTCGCCAGCGCCGCGGCCGGGCGGCTACGGTCGGGCACGTGCAGCTCAGTCGGGTGGGCGGCAGGGGGCGCCATCTGGGGCTTCAGCACCCGAGGGTGACGGCCGCGTGTATCCGTGCCGCAGGGCTGCCGGGCCTCGCCGGCCTCCACTCCAGTCCGGGCATGGTGCTGGGGGCCGGCGGCGAGGGCGCCGTGCCCGACCTCTCCAGCTCCGGCCTGCCCTCCTTCCCCGCCAACATGTCAGGTGAGGGGCCACCGCGGGCGTCCGCCCGTCTCGCAGCTGGGGCGGACCGTAGTCTCGTGTCGGCCAGTGACGTATCCTCCGAGTGATGAGAAGCAGATTGTGTTGAAGGCAGTAGGGCTCCTCCGCTGTTGAATCGTATCGCAGCGTGTGTCTTACCAGTGCAATGGGAACCATTGCCATCAGCTCTTTGGTGATGGTTAGGGTCGCCTCACACCGAAATCTGTTCCGAGAATATCCAGTTGAGCAGACATTTCTGTTGGTATCCATCATTTGTGTGATCACGGTGCTGCAGTATTATGCCAGTTTTCCTGATCATTTTGATGGAAATGTTATTTGCCCATGCTGCCAATCGCGCAGCCAGCAACGCAGCTGCCTCTCGCTACCCATCACATATTCCTTCTCTTCTCTGCCAGACCTGAGTTCACTCAACTTGGCCCCTCTGATGGCCATGGGTCATGGCGGCGTGGGACTCCAGGGCCTGCAGTGTGGTACGTACGACTGGGTGAACGGCGCCGTTCCTTTAGTGCTGATCGTTTGAGGCTTGCATTATCCGTAGCTGGTTAACGCGGCCGTGGTCGCATTTTCGGCAGCATGCGTAGCATGCTGGATACCGTGGTCACATGATACATCAAGTAAACTAACTGAAATGTCATCTGCTGTGTTTGCAGTTTGCAGTATTCCTCTTCGAACCCATGATGTGATGCTAGTGTGAAACGCTGCCTTTTGGGTCTTCTTCTTTGATATGCTGTTACTGCGGCACTTTGATGGAAGGCGAATACATTTTGCTGCTTGCAAATGGCGTGAAATGCAACCCGAATGCGGGACATTCGTGCTGAACCAATTGGTAGAAACCTGCAGCTTCAAACGTGAGCAAGGAAAAAAGGAACTGAGAACTTAGCCTTGCGACTCGCTGCGGCTGGTGAAAGCTGCAGGTGGTATGCTGCTCGGTCTTTTCTTCATTAGAATGACGTCAAGAGCTTCCTGGCAGGAATGTCGCTAGCCGACACCAGTTCTAAGAGCATTGCCTGTGCTGAATAGACCCACCTCCTCAGGCCCGTTCGGACAGACGTCATCGGCGTCAGCTGTGCCGCAAGTGCCGTCACTACCGCTGGGCGGCTCCTCAGGACAGCTGAATGGACTGGCAGGCGGCCCCAGTCTCGACTCACTCAGCTCCTACTCGGCACTGCAGCAGTACACAGGTGGGACGCGACTCGCAGGCGACAGCCACTCGTGTGACGTCGCCAGTTTCGAGACGGCTTTGGGCGTGACTGGGCGTTGGTGCTTCAACTGCACACACATCAAGCGAATACCAGGTCTGTGCGCTGCGCCAGGTCTTCCTTGGCCCATGTGCGCCTAAAATGCGCAACTGGTCAGTGGTAACTTTGCGCCAATAGGACAGTTAAGGACCCGACATTGCGCTCATTCAACCATCGAAATTTTGTCATGCTGCACACTACTTAAATAAAGGTGTGAGACGACTGGATCTTCTGTTGAGGCAGTGAGTTGATCGGCCTTAGTTGTGTCTGTATGGCCGTGAGGTGTAAATTTTGGATACGCCGCTAAACATCGTCAGTCCTTACATTAGTCTTTTTCGGGCTATACATGTCAGTAGTGATCACAGGCGACCAAGGAGGATTGCAGGGACCAGCCCCTGCCTTAAGCCCGCATTTTTTTTTTTGCCATAGATGGCCAAGGACAGAAAATAAAAAAATCAACGCCATGCGTTCTTACTGAGCTCTTAAGACAATCCTGCATAGACCGCTAGTGAAATCCTGGCACCGTGTCTGGCTGTGACCCTGTCCGTCTTACCTTAATCTCTCTCTGCGGGGTACCCGACCTTCACGTCAGTGACCTGACCCATCTGTTCCACAAGGTACCCGGCCTACACGCCGTCAGTAGTGACTCCGAACCCTCTGACCCTTATTTATCTTCCTCGCTGGGTATGCGGCCTACGCGTCGTTAGTAATGACCTTGACTCGTCTGCCCTCAGGGGATCTGGCATACATGCCATCGGTGGCGATCCTGACCCGAATCAGTTGTAATCAGGGTGCCTGGTCCGCACAGCGTTGGTAGTGCCGCGTCTGCCACTGACGCCTCTGCCCCTCAGGGTGTCCACTCCGCACATCGTCGGCGATAACCCTGCCCCGACTGACCTTGAACTCTGCCCCAAGGCTTACCCGCCCGACGCAGTGTCAATGTTGACCCGTCCAATCACGGCCGCCCTGTCCTGACCCCTCCGCCTTTACGCCGTCATGGGTGATTTTAACCCGTCTAACCACGCCCTCTGCTCCGCAGGGTACCCGGCTTACACGCCGCCGGCGCTGGCGGCCGCCAGCAACGTCTCCGGTCGGCAGGCGGAGGGTCCAGACGGCTGCAACCTCTTCATCTACCACCTGCCGCAGGAGTTCACCGACTCGGACCTGGCGCAGTCCTTCCTGCCGTTCGGTAACGTCATATCCGCCAAGGTGTTCGTCGACAAGCAGACCAACCTGTCCAAGTGTTTCGGTGAGACATGCTGCCGCTTTTGGGTCGCTGCTGGCAGAGTTGTTGCGGATACTTTGAGAATTCCACGGCGTCCGTGCCCGGTCAAAAGCTCTCCGTTGATTGAAACGAACAGGTTGAACTTCGCCGTCCACGAACATTGGGTGTGGCAATGAGTTTCTGCTGCATGTCATTTCGTCGATCTGTAATAGAAAACATGTCTTGTCTTACGCGTGTGCGGATATCATGCTTGCTTTTTATCTGAAAGGTGCCTACATAAAACACCTGTGCACACCCTTAAACGTTACAAAAGGACGTTTGTAACATCAACGGCGATCGCTGTATATACACAGGCTTTGTTAAGCACAAGACCTCATCTACAGGTGGGATCAAGATTAGGCGTCGATAATCCGAACGTCAGAACTGAGTTAAAATAAAAGTTTTTACTTACACTCATGCATTTAGGAGTCACTCCAGGTGCAATTTTGATGAGTGATTACCATCGAACTGGAACTTACGCTGGTAAAACAATTGGAGCAGATGCGAAACCAACCACAGAGAGTGACTCATGCCGGCCACCTCCCACAGCGTCGGAGCCCGTCCCAAGCAGTCGGAGAGGGGGGGGGGGAGGGGCTGCTGGCGCGGCCCCGTCACCGCCCGCTCTGCCGCAGGGTTCGTGTCGTACGACCACCCCAGCAGCTCGCAGGCCGCCATCCAGGCCATGAACGGCTTCCAGATCGGCACCAAGCGGCTCAAGGTGCAGCTGAAGCGCTCCAGGGACGTCTCCAAGCCGTACTAGCCGCCGCGCGGCCGCAGTGAGTCTGAACGGGCTGTGATGTAACGTCCGCGTCCGCGGCGGCGGGTCCGCGGAGGGGGCCTCAGTGGCGGACCCGCGGAGGGTGCCGCGGCGGCGGGTCCGCGGAGGGGGCCTCAGTGGCGGACCCGCGGAGGGTGCCGCGGCGGCGGGTCCGCGGAGGGGGCCTCGGTGGCGGACCCGCGGAGCGAGGCCGTGGCTGGTCCGCGGAGGGGGGTCGCGGCGGAGGGTCCGCGGAGTAGGGCCTCGGCGGCGGACCCGCGGAGGGGGGCCGTGGCGGGTCCGCGGAGGGTGCCGCGGCGGAGGGTCCGCGGAGGGGGGTCGCGGCGGCGGGTCCGCAGAGGGGGTCGCGCCGACCGCCACACGCCATCTGTAGAAAGTGCATCCCATGTGTGGTGTGGCGGCGGCACTGGCGCTGTGTGTTACGAGTCGCTGCTCCGGGTGGATGGCAGACACACGGGACGTTTCGTCGTGTTTGTGGCGCGGGTGTGTCGTATGTGCCGGCCCCAGCGAACCGAGAAGGAAGCCAGGCCGTCAAGGACCGATGACGTGTCTGTAGCCATGCGGTCCGTTGGTGGGCTTGAAAAGTTCCGGATGGTACCCAGGTGGACCTTCTGGTCCCTGTGTCGCTTCCAGAGCCCAACCAAATGCTTCACGCTGGCTCGGATGATGTGAGATGGGGACAGTGCGCTGGCTCGATGGCGGCTGGTGCGAGAAGCTACGCGAATGTATCGGTACATGATATTAGGATGTGGGTGTGTGTTGGAAATGGAATGGTATGAATGACGCCGTTTGATATAAATAAAAATGCAGGTACTTTTACAGCACATCACTATTTTACGAAAATATAGTAACGTCCGAAAACTATTTGTTTGAATATTATATATGCCTGTTAAGTATAATGTTGTCTCCGAGACGCCATCCCAAAAAAGGCAACACATCTTGATACTAATTCAACCGTCCGTTTGCGCCTGAGCGTCTTTGTCTTGTCATTTGCCACCGCTGCATTCATTGTTTGTTACTCTGTTTATTTTTTGAAGCGTGTTCTTGAGTTGCCGGGGCAGGCGTGAATTACTGCAAAACAGTAAAAAATGGCATTTTAAAGACGAACAAAGCTGCGAGATATGCATGTTTTGTTCGTCTACTATGCCCTTCTGTACGACAAGCGATTCGTGTCTGCCCTGCTGCTGCATGTTTGGTTTTGTACCCGTCAGAGTTTTGTCTTGGTCGCCGTACACCCTGCCACGCTTGATCTAAACGGTCGCTAACCCCGGCTCTCTTCTCTCCCCTAGATTGGTTGCGTAAGGGGCATGTGTGATCCGTGTGACCCCGAGGCACCGCCGTCCGTGTCGCGTGGCCGTCTGTGACGTCACCGGCGCCCGGTCACCGTGACCCGGGTCGTCCCGCCGCCGCCGTCTTACTGTGACTGATGCACCGGCCTGGCGCAGGCGTCCGTTCGTAGCTTCACTTAGCGTCGTCGTTAGCTCGATTTTCAGTTTGTCCGCCGTCTTGTAATGGCTTTTGTGATTTGAAGCGTGCTGAATGCTGCGATAACCGCGGGTGAGCTCACGTGCGTGTGGTGCCAAGCTTCGGGTGCGCGTAGGAGCCGTTGATTGAAGATTTGCCATGGCGTGGCAGGTATGACATGCGTGACAAGCTGGCTGGTGGCTGTGCCAGAGGCAGCCGGCGCGTCCAACCTGCGGACGCGGGCGCAACCAGGCATTTGGCAGTCCTCTCGGGGACGAGGGTTTAATCAGTCCGATATGAGGACGTGTCATGGCTGATCAAGAGGTGTCGGAACGCGCTCAGCTGATCATGGCTTGCGTCAGGCTGATTTTGCATGCGGCTGAGTGCTGACCGCACTGCCGGCGGTAAATGTTTCGTATGTATGATTTGTCCGCGCTGAGTGTCGCTCCGTCGTCTTGTTGACGCTTGGTATCGCTGTCTTTCGTCACACTGTTGGGATGTGAGTTCAGGGCGTTGATTCCCATCCAGGTGCCAAAAGTATCAACGTCTCGCGTTAAACACCGTATGGTTACGTACTGCGCGGGCCGCACTGCCATTGCCGAGGTTCAGAAATACCCCGGAACTCCGCCTCCGCCTCCGGAGGCGGAGTTTCGGGGCCTCCCACCGCATGGCAAGTCCAAGGGATGGCCCGTCTCAAACTTAAGAGCTTCACTGGCCAAACCTCGCTCCACCGCTAAGGCCTCGTGCATTTAACAAAGCAGCTGGGTGAAAGGCAGCTTGGTAGCTAAATTTTCAGTGAAGCTGCTCTTATTATTAAGCGCCAAGCATTTTGCGATTCCAGCTGAGGTTCTACCCCGCGACGTAATTGGCAATAAGCTGTGCTACCTTGGCGCTGATTAGACTAGCATTGGAACAAGTGAATATGCTCTTTTTTACTTGTGCTCTTAAAAGGGCAAAAGTGGCGGGTTTAATGGCTCGATTTGCAACCACCTCCGACACCACCTCTGCACCCAAACAGCACTCGGCGGCAGACCGGCAAATTCGACCCCAGTGCGCATGCGCCTCACGCTTGTGCAAACAGTTCGTTGTGCAGAAAGACAAGGCAGCGTTACCTCACCTCGTCAAGAGCACGGGAATCTTTTTTACGAACCCATCGCATGTTTGATCATGATCAAGTGCTGGTTCACCATGTATATTTAACATGTGATTCACAGGGTTTGCGATCATTACACAGTCGGAAAGTTCTTGGCGTGGTTTTATTCGGGTGAATTGGTTGAAATGAAGCTGATTTCAAGTGACCACTGATTCAATGTTAGAGCTTGAGCTCTGCTGATAAGCATTCTTAACAGGGTCTGATGACTGCAGCCCTTAAGTGTGTTGCAAGTAGGTGAGACATGGCCCCCGCCCACCTGAAGCCCCGCGCTGTAGATCCCAGCCACGAGGCCTCTCCCCTGAGTTACCATGGGTAGGCGAGACATGGCCCCGCCCGGCTGAAGCCCTGCGCTGTAGATGCCAGCCACGAGGCCTCTCCCCTGAGTTACCATGGGTAGGCGAGACATGGCCCCGCCCGGCTGAAGCCCTGCGCTGTAGATGCCAGCCGCGAGGCCTCTCCCCTGAGTTACCATGGGTAGGCGAGACATGGCCCCGCCCGGCTGAAGCCCTGCGCTGTAGATCCCAGCCACGAGGCCTCTCCCCTGAGTCGTCGTGGGTAGGCGAGGCACGGCCCCGCCCAACTGAAGCCCTGCGCTGTAGATCCCAGCCACGAGGCCTCCAGCGTGAGTCATCATGGGTAGGCAAGACACGGCCCCGCCCACCTGAAGCCCTGCGCTGTAGATCCCAGCCACGAGGCCTCTCCCCTGAGTTACCATGGGTAGGCGAGACATGGCCCCGCCCGCCTGAAGCCCTGCGCTGTAGATCCCAGCCACGAGGTCCCTCCTGCCCTTTGGCTGCCTTAACGCGGCGTGCCGACTGAACTCAGCACGCGCAGCGCCATACGATCGTCAAGAGCTGACTAACCGACCGAACTCAGCGCCGGTGAGTCCCTACCCGCTGCCAGCGCACCCATGCTTCTTCCACAGGCTTCTGGGCCGGACGCGTGCGGGGCCTCCAAAAGCGAGTCCCCAATCACAAAAGATCTCTCGCCGAAACTAAAGGAACGCATATTCTAAGATCATGGATCCTGGTAGCCCCATTTGCTCAACTGCAAACATGCATTCAGAAGTTTCAAACATCCCTTGGTAACTTTTGTGGTTGGATTCTCAATCCCGGATCGGGGACAGAGGATTCAAGACAGAGTCCATCTCACTTCTGGGATCCACGCGAAAGTCTCTCCTTAAGTCATCAGCCCCATCATATATGCTCGGCATATAATCGGAGCGGGGCACTGCGCCACGGCGGAGTGTCCGGTGCAAGCAACACGCGTTTAAGAGGAACGCTAGATGACAAGCCTATCCAGAAAGCACCAGCAGGCAAACCTGGCGCCAAGCGTATGCCAGACACCGAGCCCAGTTGTTGGGAATGTCCCAGAGTTGCAAGCAATGACTCTTGTTTCCGCTTGAGTCTTACGTCAACAAAAGATCCATTCAAATGGCCGTTTATTCGAACAGTAGCTGAGAACAGACATTTCTGGGCTGCAACGATGTGTGCCAAATGGCCTCCAGGCCATAGCAGTGGTAGGGACATCATTGCATTCCATAGCAGCGGTCGGTAAAGGGCTACAGTAATCCTGTAGGAACACCCTGACAGGTCGTAATGGAAGGTGAGGAGAAAGGTGGAAGGTGCCAAACGACATTTCACTGGTGCGGTATCAGCTAATAAAATCCTTATCATTCCCGGTTAACAGCGGCCAAACGGAAGGAATGATGTACCAGTACTTCCCAGGCGAGCACATCATAAGAAGCAAACGGTCATCTAAAGCAGCAAATACGTAGCCATTAAGTTAATGAGTTCCGAAACCCAGAGGACTCCGCAAAACGCCAAAGATGCACAGAATCCTTCTCAGTTTTCCCATGAAATGCATCACTTCACCCATCGCAGCACGAGTGACGTGTATCGTAAGCCTTTAGGCCACAAGCGGAACAAAGGAGACAAACCGGCTGCACATACGCACATGAGCAATAATAAATACTTCAAACAGGGTGTAAAGGCCACGTGCAAGCCTTGCAGCCAAGCAAGGCATCACACAGTCGACCCATTCCGCGCCCACCCCTCCCCCCCCCCCCCCCCCCCCTCCACTCTGCACATCGCCCGTAACCATGTAACCATGCGGTAATGTTCGGACAAATCAGCCATTTGCACATAGGCGGCAGCACATGCAGAACATGGCTGACACGCGGGGTCGCGCCGATCCGCTCGGAACAAACGTGTGCAGAGTCTAAAACGTGTGTTCCCCAAGCCTGTAGGCATTGCTTGTAAAAGTATCAATAGCTCTCAGCTTGTCAACTATGAACCACTGTTCAGCCTCGTATCTGTGCGATAACACTTGTGCCACCTAAAACGTAAACGTAAACCGACCACCATGGCCGTTGATTTCCCGGGGATTTCACCGGTGAGTCCCGCCTCCCTCAACGAGTAACACCCGCACCGCCCAGCGTTAACGACACCAGGCGGCGCCCAGCCTACGTGAGCCGGCATCACAACAGCTTGAGGTGGCCGGTGACCTGGTCGATCAGCTGGGCCGGCGCCGGGCCCACGCCCAGCACGGTGACGCTGCCGGGCGCGATCTGCGTGCGGCCCGCGTCCTGAATCACGGCCGTGACGAGGCCGGCGGCGCGCGCGTCCCGCTCCACCCGGTACAGCGCGTACTCGTCCTCCGTCTTGAGCACCACCTTGGCCGGGCCACGGCGTTCCCACTCGGCCAGCCACTCGGGCGTCTGGCGAGCCGCCTGCTTGTAGGCGGCCAGCGCGGCGTGCGAACACTGCGCCGCCACCTTGCCCTTGCCCATCTTCAGGTCCATGCGCACGACCAGCACCAGTTTCAAGTCGTCGTGCTCGGCGACGGCGACGACGCGCGGCCGGTCTGTCGGCGCGGAGCAGAGGGCGCGCGCGGGTGCAGGCGCCGGTCGCCACAGCAGCCAGCCAATCACGGCGCCCAAGCCGAAGCCGGCCACCAGGTTTGCCGAGTCCATCCTGACGCCCAGCAGACGCGTGTGGGCCGCCAGAGGGCTAGGCAGCGGCATTCACCTGCAGCGGGGTGAGACAGGTGTAAAAGACTGGTGGCTGGAAACCCACTGCATGATGCAATGAGGTGCATAGGTTGGAAAGAGGAAAATACTTGGGTGACTCTTAACAAAAACTGATATATTGTTGCAGACTTATGGTACTGGGTTTTAATCATTTTCATTCCTGTCCCATGTGCAAGCAAATACAGGCTTTGTAAATCAGCACTCTGCAAAAAGCTGGATGGGGCTACTGCCCTCTGCACTATCACATTCACAAATCGTCCCCCAAGTGGAAAGTCACACTCACAGGTGTCCATTCACTATAACCCCTGCAGCTTTTCAGATGATCTCATTCAGAGCACACAGACACATCATCTGACCATGCTACCTAATCACTGCTGCTGGTGTGGAGGCCCGGCACATGCAGCCATTCATAAATATGCTTTAAGCATATCTTCAAATATTTGTTAGATCTCTGAATCACATGGCTAGTATGCAAACTATCACAGCAACACAAAACTATGCAGGTATGGCTTTGCACTTGGTGCTGATCTGACAAAGCGTTGTATCCATCTGATCCACTCACAAACTGCTGGGGGGGGGGGGGGGGAGGAGTAATGAATCAACACACACAAAATAAGGCGCACATTAACAGGAGGGCTTGAGTAAACCAGACACCAGGAGTTTTACTGAAATGGCATTCTTATATAATCTGACCTGACTCTGCTCACTCTACCTCCATCTGTTAAAGGTTGAATACAACATAATGTCAAAATGGTTTGCTTTCTCCTTCAAAATCCATTAAACACTGTGCACAATGTACGGAAAATTAAGCGGCTTCATCGCTGAGCAAAGATTGTGTCCACTACATAAACCAATAACATGGCATTGCATAAGATGTGCCAGGAATCATGATTTTGTGTTAGGCTAATAGGCCAGCATGATGGTCTACCCATGGCTGATCATCATTCTAGCTATCACACAATAACACACATACTTAAGACCAATGCCCATAACTAACAGTGAACATGCAAGAGCAAACCAGGTCTGGGCATGGTGGATATATTGTCTGGTTACCATCCACAAAACATAAAGTTTGAAACTCAAAACTACCAAAAACTTATGAGGATGTGATGTGATAAATGTGCCTAGAACCAAGGATCTTAAGGTCCCTCTCAGAAACAACCAAACTATTGAATGACCTTGCCAACATGACAACTGACATACCTGGGTAGCAAGACAAATATGATGCAATGCAAGAAAATTGAAAGCATTGAAACTGGCATGAAAAGTATAATTCACACCTGATGGGCCATTCACTTATATGGCTGGCATTGTAGCAAATTTTCAAGACGGTTCTGGGCTATTCTGATATGATCTGATGCACAAGATGTGAGGTCTTTGGGAAATGCTTAAAGCAGGAACTTGTTGTTTATGGCATGGTTTTTCAGCACATACATCATTCTAAGAAAGTGGGAATATAGCTCATCAACAAAAGACTGCTCAGGGATTCACTGCACAGCAGCAAGCAATTACTTCTTTTGGTTTCTCCGCCGGTTTACAGAGCCTTGTGTCACTCAGCTGGTGTCACTCTGCCTGCTTACTCCTCGCACCCAGGTAAAACAGTCCGTATCGGATACATCTTGCAAGAAAGTCTCACAATATTGATATCAATACAAGCGCCAGACATTCATGAATTCTCTTAATACCGTTATCTACCTCTGCGTCCTATAAAGTGCCAATAAATGGAGTTCTCCCCCACATCTCTCACCCACAACCCTCACAACCGGGCGCATAAAGCGGCGTTGCGGCTGTCACCTGATCTTAGTGAAATTCGATAATGCTTCCACCTGACTGTACGATGACGTCACAAAGCCACAAAATCACTAACCAGCCTAGTGATATCAAGCACGTTTAACCCTGACAAGCCCATGATGGGACCTGGGCGCTTCTTGCCACATGGCGGTCCTTACCAGTCGGAAGGTAAATTATAAATGAAAGTTACGTGCTGCAGGGATAGGTTCGTGGCTCACTGCATGATCTTCGGTGTTAACATGAAATGAGGCCGGATGGCAACAAACGTCGCCTGGATAGGACTAGGCCGGCATAAAGACTGGGCCGGACGGGCCTCGACGGGAAAGACCAAACCAGGCGAGAACGGTTGAACAAGATCAGACCGAGTGAACAGAATGAGACCGGGCGGACCGCACGGATTCAGATAGGATCAGACGGGATCAGGCATAACCAGACGGGATTGGACGGGACTGGAGGGTACCATACATGACTGAAAGAAACCAAAAGGAACGGAACATACAGAGCGGGGCCAGACGGTGTGGAATGGGGACCAAACTAAATATTAGGGGCGGACCGGACAGGAACGAATGGGACCGGACCGCACCAAACGGGACAAAAAGACCGGGCGGGATCAGACAGGATCGAACAGCATCATAAGTGACCGAAAGTAATGGTTGGGACAGAGAGCAATCGTATGGACCTCAACAAAACCGGATCGGATCAGACAGAACCCGATGTGACGTCATGAATGGGGACGGAACCGGGCGAAACAGACCACATAAGGGACAGCCGGGCAAGACGAAACCAGACGGGACCTGATTGACTCAAAAGGGACCCTGACTGGACCATGCGAGACCAGATGGGGACCAGGCGGGACTTGCCGACGAAGTGGCCTTTGTTCGATTCTGTGGGCCCCCCAAAGAAAGCATGGCCCTTCTTTTGCAGGCACCCCAAAACTTAACAGCGCGAGCCTGGCCTTTTTTACCCTCGAGAAGTGGGCCCCTAGGCCGAGACTGACCCGGAGCAACTATTGGGCGTTGGTGGTACCTGGCCGAACCAGAGCTCCGAATTGTTCCACACGATCTCAATCGATGCAAGGATCCATCTGACTGACTTTTGACGCCACGGTTCTACAGACTTGGATCCTGAATAAGACTCACAGCGAGACCTTCGGGCCCTTCAGCGTTCCAATCGGACCTTTCATGGTCAGCCTCGAGCGGTATTTTGGGCCTCTCTTTAGACCCTCTCGAACACTGCCCCGGTCGACTCGGGCCCCTTGCCAACACGGAGCCCCCTGCTACGCACTGCGGACTCTTGACTAACCAGGGGGCTCTCATTGTTTCAGGAGCCCAACAACACTACTCAGGGGTCCTACAGGGGATGCACAAACCTCCCGTCCTATCCAAATCCGTGCGGTCCGCCTGGTCTCGTCTTGTTCATCCAGTCTCGCCTTGTCTGTCCGGTCTCGCCTGGTTCTGCCTTTCCCGTCGGGTTTCGCCCGGTTCCGTCTATATATTGGCCTAGGCCTATCCAGTCACGTTCCTTGCCATCCGGGATCATTTCCTATTCATCTCGGAGATCATGCAGTGAGCCATGAACCTATTCCTACAGCACATAACTTTCGGGTATCATTTTTCGTCCGACTGGTAGGAACCACCGTGTAACGAGAAATGCCTAGGTCCCATCAGGCTTAGGCTACATTAGGTCCTTTGCCAGGCTTAGGGGCGAAACCTATCACAAGGCTGGTCAGTGATATTGTGGTTTTGTGACGTCATCATACAATCAGCTGGGAGTGTTACCGAGCTTACTACAATCAGCTGACAGCTGCACCGCCGATATCTGCTGGCGGCTGTGAGAGCTGTGTGGGTGACATGTGTGGGAAAACGACATTTTTGGCAGCCTATGGGGCATAGAGCTAGATGAAGATGTTAGAGGAATTCTTAATTGCCTGACACATGGACTGCCATCACTATTGTATGATTTGCTTGCTAGACTCAGCTGATACGGACCGTTTTGCTGAGTGCGAGTGCTGTGCTGGCGTTATCTGATTTCTTGCGGGTTATGTAGCTTACATTATGCTCACTACCAAGTACCAAGTTAGTCCTTTTTTACACTGTGTGTTTATCCATGGCATCATATATTCTGTTCCAACCTATTGCATGTTTTTTGTTCACAAGGTATTCGCATGCTGTTATGGAACAATTGCTGATCTGTCCCATCACCAGCACTTCACAGTCCTACATTTCCAGAATCTGGCAGGCTGGTCAGCATGCTGTGCAGCGCCCGTGCCCTGGCCCGTCGGGCCGGTGTTTTGGGCAGCAGTCAGGCCCGCTGGGCTGGGCCGACCCAGCGCTGCGCTCGGCTGCAGGCGCGCCCCTGCCAGGGCTTCAGCACGTCGAGCAGCCGTCCGGCGCCGCTGCCGCCGGTCGTGTGGCTGGTGCTGAGGCCCATCAGCAAGTTCATGGCCGTCCTGTTCGGCCGCGCCTACCGCAAGTGGTGGAGGGCGCTGCCACACGACAAACGCGCCGTCTTTAAGGAGAGCGTCCAGCGGAACCGGAAGCGGATTATTGGTGAGAGCTGGTCGGATCGCGACGGCGGCAGTTCGCTGACGATTTCACTAGACTTTGTAGTACTTAGTCGTCCTTTAGGCCGTTGAGATAGGTTTCTAGTTTTTTATCACGCCCATTAGGCTCCAACTGATCTTTTCCTGGCCGTAAGACTGCGATGTACCCTCCTTAAAACACCCATCGGCTTGTGGCTATCTGAACAGCTTTCACCCCATCCGCGTGCGGGAGGTGGTGGGAGCGGTGTGCTGTACCTCCTGTCCACGTTGCATCCGTGCTGCTGCAGTGGTATCGACGGCTGTTGCCGGGCTCTCGTTGCACTACTACGTCAGCCACCTGCAGACCACCCCAGTCACTGGCCGCACGAGGTTTGTCGCCTTCACGCCGGAACAGTTCGACAAGATCTCCCAGGAGGGCTTCGATCAGGTGCGGCAATGCAACAATGCATTGCACAGCAATGCAACACCCGTAGACAACTCCTGGCTTTTTGTATTTGTAGTCACATCGCGACTGAACCACCCCACACATAACGGCGAACTGCCGCACATGACGCCGACAGGGAGACTCACTCTACGTGTCCCGAGCAGCACCTCTTATACTCCTTTCGAGCCCACCCGCAACACGATCGGCGTGCGACTCACCGGCACCACCGCGTCCCACCCCACCGCGTCCACGGGCTAACGCATCGCCACTGAGTCGTGACCGTTTCCCTACGTTGACACTGTCCTGGGCGTGATCTATTGCCACATATGGTCCACCGCTACACTTTTACCTTGGAGATAACGATACCGGAGGTATTCATTTTGCCAGGATTGCACTGCGCTCCTGACTGGCTCCAGGCGTTGTCGGAGCTGTGTTTGACGGCCGTCGCCGGCAGATGATCGAGGAGCACGGCGCGTCAGTGCTGCCAGCCGGCCACGAGGCCTACGACGCCGTCGTGCGCGTCGCCAACCGCCTGCTGGCCGCCAACGCTGACCTGGACGAGGTGCACGACAAGGACTGGTCCGTCACCGTGGTCGACGACGAGGACTTGGTGAACGCCTACGTGCTGCCGGTGGGTGAGGCGCCGGCGCGCCGCCGGTCGGGCGAGCGGCGCCGCGCGTCGCCAGCTGCTGCATCGGCGCTCACCTGCACTATGCCTGGCATCAGTCACGCCACGGCCTGGCAGAGCGGATTATTAACTGGAAGAGAGTGCGCCAACAATATCCTGTTTGCTATATCAGGCTGTTGAGTGAGGTCTAAGGGATGGCTCGTCGCTGCTACTGTTTGCCGATTGACGCGTATCTGCGTTTGTCAGTATACAGGCATCTGCAAGTTTCGGGAGCTATTATGGCATTGTACTGTCCATGATACTTGCTAATTTTCGTTTTCATTGCCATACTCGGCTTGGCTAAATTGCAATGTTTGTCATGCAAAGGGAGCCGGCACGTACGCCAGTCTTCTCTTTCAGTGCGGCAAAATATTCGTGTTCACCGGCATGCTGGAGTTCTGCACCAGCGACGACCAGCTTGGGTGCGTGCTGGGGCACGAGATGGCTCACTCGCTGCTGGGACACGGGGTGAGTGGCGCCGCAGCGTCCTGTACGATCGCTCCGTCAAGCGGAAACGACTCGGCGCTAGGTGCATGCCCTGTAGAGCTTTGCAAATGATATGTCAGCTGCCATAGCCACAGACCGCAGGCTTGATGATGATGACTGGGGTTCGCGCACCGACGACCGAGGTCATTTTTGCAATATCGCGCAGGTCGCAGCAGTTTCGTTACCGTTGATACTGTCTCAAGTTGGGCGCGGAGCTTTGCCCGCCCGTTAGCCCCCTATGACATGCGTCGTTTCCTGTGGGCGGGCGTGTGCTCGTGCAAGGTGAAGTCAGCAGACGTGCCAGTGTGTCCGGTCGGCCCCGGGCGTCGGGCTCCTGCTCGGGCCGTCGGTGCTCAGCTGGGTGCTGCGCGCGCAGGGCGAGCGGTTCAGCAGGGCGCACCTGATCGACCTGATGCTCATCCTGCCGCTGGCCGCCATCTGGGCCTTCCTGCCCAACGACGGCATCAGCGCCTTCGCCCACTGGTTCTTCCGGACGACGGTGGGCCTGCTGGCCGACATGCCGCACAGCCGCGAGCTGGAGACGGAGGCGGATGAAGTGGGACTCCGGCTGGCGGCCAAGGTGAGCGTCCTCCTCTGCGAGTGCCCGCAGCGGGGCGGGGCGCCGCCGCCGGGAGGTGGTGTGTGCGGCTGTTGGGGACTGACAGAGGCGAGGGGAGCTTGTGCGCGGGTAGTTTGTTGAGAGCCGTTGGGACTCGACGAAGGCGTTTATCAAGGTCAAATGTGAGCTTATTCGGAGTCCTCACGTGCTCACAAGACGCCCCTCCCATCACCGGGCACCGCGTGACCCGGGGCCGACCGTGCCGCAGGGGTGCTTCGACGTGCGCGAGGCGAGCGCGTTTTGGGCCAAGATGGCGCTGCGCCGCGAGATGGAGGACGGCGTGTCGCCAGAGTGGCTGTCCACGCACCCGGCCGATGAGGCGCGCCGGGAGAGCATCGACCGTCAGGTGCCGGACCTGCAGCGGACCCGCGACCTCTGCCAGGTCAGGTCGGGCGGGGTCAGGGCGACCGCCGCGCCGCGCTCCACCTGCTGACCGCCGATCGGCGGCCTCTCAGCAACGCGTCTGTTACCCGAGCGCCGGCCACGTGTTTGTGCCACATGAGGAAAGGGCACAGCTTCCCCGGTTGGTCCTTTCTCGCGGATTCGCTAGTAACGTGTTCGAACCTGAAAGATAAGCTTTGGTGTCCCGCTCTCTGTGGTAGTAATTGGGACTTCCGGGTGCTTCGACTGCGCCGTCATACAGCATCCATTCCGCCCCCGTGCGTGACGGCCGGAACTTAATCTGACCACATGTTCGTGTTACCGCCGACGTGTGCCGACTGCGGCGATTGGTGCATGTGTCCGCGCCGCTGCCGACTTGCTAGCCGGCGCGCCCCGTGTCCCCCCCCCCCCCCCATTCCCGTTGCCGAGCCGCTGACCGGCGCGCCCCGTGTGTCCCCACTGCCGACGCGCTGACTGGCGCGCCCCGTATGCCCCCGCAGTGCGCCCCGCTGCCGGACCGGGACCCCCGGGCAGAGTTCGAGCAGTTCCGGCAGCGGCTGCTGGAAGAGAAGGCTGCCGCCCGTGCCCTCATGGCCACGCCACTGACGAAGCCCGATGCCGCCAGGTAGGTACAGACAGCGCAGCGTGCCGCCTTGGGGTGCAGGTGCAGTGACACGGTGTCGCACGGCGTGCACGAGACAACCCAAACGGCCACGGGACTGCGTCTTGCCTTGAGGCGACTTGTGGTAACTGTGCCCGCCTGTATCGTGTATCCTGTTCGTTATGCGTTTTTTTTTTGGCAGATTGATAGCGAGCTGTTTTTATGGATTCAATTTCAACCGCATCATTTTAATCATTTTCAGAAGTGGCGGATAGACGTGGTTGGGTGCCGGATTGGATCCTGGTCTTCAACAGACTCCATCATGCCTCGGGCTTCTGGCTCTCTTCCGTACCGATCAGTGGCAAATTAGCGATCAGCGGCGGCGGTCTGTTTGTTACGACTTTGTTACGAAGGCTCACGGCAGCCGCCGGGCTCGGGGACCTACCCGCCCGGTCTTGCGTTACGATGCTGGACTCTCCGTAGTCCCACTGCAACCGTGTCACGCGCTCCGACCCCGGCATATGATGTCAGCACAAGTGTCTTGACCAAATGCAGCTTAGAAGCGCCGATGTTCTGCCGGTGGACGTTGCACTTCGGACGCAGTTGGTCCGGACTGTTGCGTGACCGTCCGGTCCCATGGGGCGTTGTATCGCAGGCGGCAGATAGCGATGACCGCGGGGACAGGGGTGCCAGACCTGCGGAGACGGCTGATCGGCCCGAGTTGATCCTGAGCGGCGGCCGCTCGCAGTGCGCCTCATGCAATCGCGTCGGCGCGCGTACTTGCGGCTGGCGCCCTGAGCGTCCGCGCGGGCCAAGCTCGGACCACTGGCCACGATGTGATCTTTTTAAACGGATCGTCCGCTTACATCGTCATGGTCGCAGATCGCTGATCAACCGCCATGTGCAATATTGTGCGATGTATGTTGTCGACCGCAGTTTGTAACGAGCGGCCATATCATGTTGACGTAAGATTTCACGATGACAGAAAGCATTTGTGCTTTTATCAGACGTATCTATTGGATCGTGCTTTCACGACACAAACAGGGCGAACTAATGTGAGCCGTGTAAAAAACGCAATAAAGAGTACTTCAGACGTCCGCTAGTGAAAATAAGTCTCTCTCACTGGAAGAAGCCCAACAGCTCGGACAGTGCGGCGGCGTTCGAACTGTCGCCAAGGTCGGCGCCCGGCGCTGGGTGGCCGCCGTGGCGACCGCGGAAGCTGAACGCTCTCCTCACCCTCGACGGGATGGCGGCGCCGACCGGCCGGCGCTCAGCACGCGCGCCGCGGCCGGCCAAAGTCTGGCCAGATGCCACCTGGGCCCGATCCGGCGCGCGTGGCCCGGCCAGCGGGTCCGGCGCCTCCCACGTGGCGCCCCGGTATGCCGCTACAGGCGCGCAAAACGGCCGGACAGCGGGCGGAGATGGCGCGCGCTACCGACAGGCGCATGAGATGAGGTGTGATAATGGCGCTAGTGGGTCGCCGCGCCAGACAGTGGGCGGAGGCGCCACGACACGGAGCCTCCGCTGACGGCACGATGCTGCGCGGGAGACATTACTCGGAGGTGGAGCGGCCCTACCCTCTTCGGGCCGCGCCATGCCGCCGTCGTGTCATGTGTCGGCTCCCAACAGGCTCTCGGGCGTAAGCACCTCGTGGGAGACGGGCACCTAGCTACCCTCATCATAGCGCATCCAGCATCTTGATGATGGCGTCCCGTTCCTTCAGCGCCTTCCACGCGAGCTCGCGCTCCTTCTTGGACGGCGACTTCTTACGCTGCCGGGCGGCGGACACCACCTGGTACGCCTCCTGGACCTGGTGGGGGACAGGCACGAGTTACAACAGCCGTTCAATTCGGAGGACGCCTAACATTGTAAACATTGTCAACCAAAAAATGATCTATAGCATGCCAACAATTGCAATGTCTTAAAAACCATGTAACCAAGGCTTTCGGGCCTCAACCAATTCAGCAAGAGTTATTTGACATACTGCTTTAACTGAACTCACACAGGCCCACGGATATCACTGTATCATTTTCTGGTTCGGATGCACAAACGTTGTTCAGCACAAACAATGTGTTGAGGGAAGTCAATTACATCCACAACCTAAATCCATGCACGCAAATCTATTGCAGCGACACATTTCACCTGCAGCCAGCCTAACTGCGCACAAAGCCACAAGCTGAACCCGTCTCCCCCATACGAGAAGCCAGTAGGGAGGCATAACACGGGGCCTGTTTTAAGTTTCTAACTTCGATGGATTCATAGATATTTGTTTCAGCACAATCTCAAGCTCGAAGAAGCGCAGACACATCAACATTAACGCGCCCGACCTCGCCCACAGCTTTCGAGGATGACACTTGCAACCTACCTTCTCACACTTCATTTCCGACATAGCATGCTATTTCGCTGTGGAAAGCTTTAAGACACCCCTATGAATTAAAAATCGTCGGCAAATTTAAGCACCTTGCTTTATAGCCCTATCTGATCTAATCCTAATCTATAACCCTAAAACCCGCATTTCTAATCCTAGGTTTGTTGGGCTTTTCTGGGTATATGAAAATAAGTTAGTTCATTAGCTTTCAGGTCTAGTGAAGCCGTGTTCGGATCCGTACTGCTGGCTTTAGAGCATGACCAGAAACTGACATCTCAAGACGGTTTTTCGATCCGACCTGATTGCCCGTCAGCTTGGTATCTGTTTTCCATACAATACGGGAAGCGACTGCTGGTCTTAAACATGACTTAAAGCCTACACATAATTTTGCGAGAGCAAAATTTTTTATGGCGAAAAAGCCGCATTGCGTCCATCCCATAACAGCTAATTTATAGTCTCCCAGGGCACTCGATTTCCGCGGCCGGCGCCGGACCCTCGACGGCGGCCGGACGACGCACCTGGGCGTCGGTGGTGGCCAGCTTCTCCTTGAGCTCCTGCCGGCGCAGCTCGGCGCGGCTCAGCCGCAGCAGCCGCTCCACCTGGGCGGCGTTATGGGCAGCTAGTGTGCGCAGCCGCGCCTGGCACCGCTCCAGCTCAGCCAGCACCTCGTCGTCGGCTACCGCGCTCGGCCCGTCCGTGTCGTCCACCAGGCCCTGGTTCTGCAGCTCGCGCCGGAGGCGTCGCTCCAGCTGGCCGGCGGCGCTCAGCTGGAGGGAGGCGGCCAGCCCGGGCCGCGCCACCACCGGCTCCGTCTCTGCGGCAGCGCGCGGTCGTCAGTCGGGCGCGCCGCGCTCGCCGGCCGCAGCGCCCTACGCCGGCCGGCCCACCCACGCGAGAGCAGCCATGACACCGTGTTAGTTAGGAGCGAGAGGCCAGCGCTCGAACCGCAGGCATAGTGGGAGTGCCTCAACACAGGCACAGTCGCACAGCACAACCTGAACAATGAGTCGTTGCGTGAACATTGAGTCGAGACAGTAGTCACGGCGGTTACAGAAGTCCTGGACAACGTGACAGGACCGACAGACACTACGTGTATCCCTACACAACAGCTGCTGGTTTCAGATGGCAGGCGAAAAAAAATCGGCACACATTCAGTGCCTTAATGAGTGGCAACCCCTTATCGAAAGCAGGACAAGACACAGTATGATCCCACCAGGACACCGAAGCGAGTCGCGTCATCGTGTAAACTACAGAATATTTCTATCAGCCCTTCCAACTTGCTGAACATCAAGACGCCCAAGTAGGTATGTGAGCAGCAGCTAACTCGTCGCCCCCAGCAGCCCTGCGCCACCCCATCCACAAGGTACGTCCCTCCACAAACCGGACAGGCGATTAGGTCACCAGACGAGACGGACGCCACTGAGTCTCACCTTTGTTCGCGCCATCCACGTTCTCATCAACCGCGGAGAGCACGTTCTCCTCCACCAGACCAGACACGAGGCGCTGCGTCAGGGTACCCAGGCCCGCCGACTCGTCCTCACTGGGGGAAGACGGGGAGGTTAGACCCGCGAGAGGTCAGGGCGTCCACGGCCGCCGACTCATTCTCACTGGAGGTGCACACGGGGAGATTAGGCCCACGAGATCAGGGTTTCAGACCCGCCGACTCGTCCCCACTTGGGGGGGGGGGGGGGGGGGCACACACGGCGTTCAAAGCCGCGAGCCACACGCCAAGTGCCCACATCCTCCCAGAGTACAGCTGCCGGTAGACAGCTGCGCGGTATTGCAGCCAAGCGCGGCAACGGAACGGACACCAGCAGACCCAGCTCCCCTCTCCCGCGCCGGTCGGGACCTGAGGAGTCGTCCAGCCAACGGCACCTTTTTATTTTGGCCTTGGCCTTGGTCTGCGTCTTGTTCTCGTCCTCCGAGTCGGAGTCACCGTCGTCCTGTCCGTCCTCCTCGGCCCACTTGAGCGTGTAGTGCTTGCCGAGTGGGGGCACCGTCAGGCACTCGTCCATGTCCTCCCGGTCGGCACTCAACCGCTCCAGCATCTGCGCGCGACAAACGGCGTCACACGGCGGCCGCCGCGCATGGTCCGCCGCAGTACACGGCGTCAGACACCGTCAGCTGCATGCCGGAGGGCCGGAGTGGAACGAGGGGAGCCATCACCTACGGGATGACCATGGAATAAGAGACGTTCCTGCATGAATTCCGTTGTGACCAAAAGGAAAACTCCACATCTGTATGGGGTTTGAAATGAAACAGACATTTTTAGGACCATTCCGTGCATGTTCACAGCTCTGTCCTCTTCAAGACCTGAAACCCTCCAATTCATGGACTTCACGCCCGCTAAGGCCACTTTTGAAGCCTCTGCCCCTGAAGGTCATTTCAAGGTCATTCAGATATGCATGCCACCATATCAACATCATTGAAATCCTGCCACCCAATCGGACATGCGGCGTTCAAGCCCATGAACAACATTTTCGTCGAGCCGTTTAGATCTGGCGTCCGTGATCACGAAGTACTCGATGTGAAAACTACGCTGACAATTGCGCATGGCTAGCTTGGTAGGTCCTGAACGGCATACAAACGTTCCATGGTGCAATCAAACAATAACATATTGAGGAACATATTCATTAACTAGAAATTTGTTTAGTCTGGAGCTGAGCTTTTCACTGAAAATTAAACAAATAGTTTAAATTCAGCTTATTTCATCATCTATCATACTTACTTCCATATCTTCAAATGCGGAGCATTCCCTTCAAACGTTTTACTCCACAACACCTGTACTCCAAAACACCTGTCCCAGGCAAGGTCGGTAGGCTATGACGAGGATTCGAGTACCCACCTCCACGTCCTTTGTCGTGATGGGGCCGCAGTACTGCTCCATCGCCGCCCAGAACTTGTCAGGGATGTCGTTTTTCACCACGGGCGACGGCATAGTGGGATCGGCCTTGATTTGCGGCAGGATGTCCTCCGAGTTGTAGGCCTGTAGACGTGTCAACAACACTGCATGGAGACGCCATCTCGACAGCTCGTGAACCAGTGCGTTGGACGCTTGGATGGGCACCGACGTTCAGACCTGGGTACCACTTCGTTCAATGCACCACAGCGTGACTTTCCTGCAAGTCCCAAAACTGAACTTGCGATCTGGAATTCGTGCAGTTCGATGAAAGCCGTCGAGCAATGCGCTTCAACATCGCTGCAGTCGCCTAGTAGTGTTGATGGCCGTGAATCGAACTATACGAAGAATGCAATCTCACAAGAACTGCCTCCGACGCGTTCCGGAGCCGTCAATGCGATGGTGCGGTTGTGCGGACGGCAGACACCGTACAACGCCACTCACCCCGGACGGGACCCGGACCCTGGGCGGCTTGATCGGGGTAACTTCCTTCGCCCTCCCGAAGGAGTCCTTGAACTTCTTGACGGGCCGCTCGCCGCTTCTGGCTACCTTCCCCGGAGAGCCCGGCCCGGCCTGAAGAGCGGCGGCGCCCCGTCAGCGCTGACGCCCCCGTCACGTCACTGACGTCACGTGCAGCGCCCCGTCGCGGACGGACACCGGCACGCACGACATCACGCGACTGGAAGTGATCCGTCCACACAAACATGACATAGTGGGAGCAACTGGAACGCGACGTACCGCGGTCGGCGGCCGGCCGCGTCGCTTGTCCATGCCGTTGATGAGCTTGATCTCGGCGCTGACCGTCTTCCGGCGGATGGTGGCGGCGGACAGCAGGGCCTCCAGCTCCAGCTGTATCCGGTCCACGTCCTCCATTGTGACGGTGCCGTCCGGCCGAGACACCACTGACGGCCGACAGAGGTCAGCGGCTATGCAGTCAACATACTACCAATGCCACCTGCCTCTATGCCTTTTATGCTAGGAAACGTGACGCACGTCGCCGCCCACCCCTTTATGGAGGTCAGTCACAACCAGTGCCTGCAGAGGTCATAAGACACTGAAGGGAGCATGCTCAACTGGGGATTGAGCATGGAACCCCATCCCCCATATGGGAGCCAATGGTGCTAACCACTCAGCCATTATGCCCTGCCAAGTTGAGTGTGATTCTTTTTTATAGAAGACCTGCTACACCAATAAAGAACTGTCATCCAAGTCTGGAAATCACGACTCAAGGCACAAAAAAGACAACATACAGTTTTGCACAATATGTCCTACAAACAACTACACCCTGAGGAAATTTACATGCCATGCCTCACAGCAAACCAGTTCGAGACAGTTGATTTATGTTAACACATCTGCTTGCTTCACATTACCTGCAGCATATCTGGGGAGGGAATGCTCATGGTCTATGGCCAATATATCTGACAAGCTGAGAGCACAATGGTCTAGTTTAATGCTGGACTCATTGTCATCCTTCAGCTTGCTATGTTCTTTTCCTTTTGCAGTCTTTTGATGTTTGGGCTTAGGTGCCATTCTGTGCACTGAAATGACAGAAATAAATGTATATGGTAAACACAATGAAGTATTAACTGAGACACTTTCTAAAATATTTGTGGCAAAGTTTACAGAGACATATTTATGCCAACTTGGTTGAAATGTGAGGTACAGACAAGACACTGTACTAGGACAATCCACAGTGCATGTCATTCTGTCTTGACAATCTTAATACATGCACTCACTTTGCAGTAACATATCTGGAACATGATTACATAGGAAAAACCAAAGGTGGCCAAACATTAGGTGTTGTGTTATCTTTTTTGGAAACCACATTTCTGTACCACTCAGTAATTTCAAAACATCAACAGGACTGTGCAGATAGCATCAGTTCATCAGCTAAAAACTAAACAGCTGACAATTTACAATTGACATTAACCAGACATCTGACAACCAAGCACAAATGCTGACAAAAGTTGTTCAGAAATGATACAAAAAACAATGCACTGCATCCATTATAGCATGACTGAGGAGTCATGAAGAGGTGACAAAAATTAGGATGAGTTTTATCCTGGCCATATGATAATAAATGCTTGTCTCTATATACTGATTCATGCAAGGCCTGTGGTATACTACATTTCATCTGTAATAGTTGCCATCTGTCACTGATGATCAAAATCCTTACCCACAAAGGCCCAAGGTATGCATACACCTAAATCATAGCTCAACCTAATCCCCAATTCACCTAATATATTTGCAAAACTATCATGAAAAAATGAGTTTAGGATTTGATTACTTCTACTCCATGGTGTGAAAAACATTATCTTCTGCTATGACTGATCCACAAGGCTGTAATAGGCATTACAAATGATGCAATGTGAACACTTTAGTGACTTCAACAGCAACATAAGGCCTTGCAGGCCTGAATTAATTTTTCATAGATATCTGAATTAAAATAAACATAAGACAAACATACTAAGGAATAGGGCTTAGTTCCAACAACATTGACCAAATTTTTGCTGTGTGCAAGTATTTCAACTGACTTTAACCGACTTAAACTTTGATTCACTGAGAGTAAGTTGTTCAGTGCATCTGCGAGGAACATTACACACATACAAAATACAGTAGTAGTAGCCTTATTCCCTGGAGAAAAACCAAGAGAACTGAGATACAGATGGGTTGATATTTTCGCAACACGCCTTTATCAAAACGACAGCAGAAGACTGTTCACCATTTACTTATATTTATGTATCATTTGACTGAGTGGACTTACGTCAAGCTGCAAATGTCGTTCTCCTGCCACTTTACACCATAAAAACTGATAAGATGTGCAGGATGGTGTAAAATCGCAAAATATATCATAGAACATTCACATTGGATTCATCCTTGATAATTGCCCGACTGGACGGGCAGGCTTCCCAGTTCCGACACCCTCACACAGAAATCACAGACAAGCATCAAAACGTGCATTGTACAATAGCGTACAATTTCCCCGCATTTTTGGACCCGTAGGTCACAAAATTATCAAGACCCAACGTCTCCAACGCACATTCAAATCCAAAAACCCCCTGCTCCTGCGCGGCTTCTGGCGCAGTCTACGCCATCAGCTGATGAGGGATACCCTACAATCTGTAGTTGTGAAACGTTTTCAGCTGATGCTTCTGATTATTTTGAGGGGAATGTTGTAAAGTATGACTAATTTTGACTTAAGCATTTCAAAACTCATCTTAGCATACAGAAATGAATTCAAATAAATTTATTCATCAGTTTTTATTAAATTTGTAGGGATTTAGTGACAAAATGTACCATTAAGCAGCCTACAGCAGCATATATCTGGGTGTTTACAATCTACGACAGCTAACTATATTTTAAGCCACCGAAGCTTTGCGTAATACGTTTGTGGCGCAAATGAGACATATTCTTGCGAGCCGAAACTGTCTACGTGTTCAATAGGCACGCCGGACGCACCAGACACGTTGAAGGCTTACGGCGGTGGTTTGGCGTACTGTTTGGTGTTGTCTATTAACTGATAAATATGGTGAGTTCATAAGTGTTATTTTTAAGGCTTCAGGCAATAACCATCGCAGCTACATTCATTGCGGAAAGTCACGACACACGAACAGAAGGGGCGCATGGCCTCGGTTATGTCGGCATCTCTGGCCGTAAATTTTAGATCCAGTATGCATTATTGTGAAAATGGCTCTCAAAACCCTTGAGAAAGCTAATAGGCTAGGCAATGTGTGCATTATAGGTTACCGGACCGTGTGCATGTTAGGTGTGCATGTTAGGTTATCGGACCGGGAGCCTGACGAGACCGGGACCTACAGGCCTAGTGGCCTTTTACAATTCCCGATCACCATAAGGTAAGGTAAGGTAAGGTATTATCTGTGAAGCAATTGATCAATATTAAATCCTCTCATGCATTTGTACCTTAATATTTAATTTTGCACTTTTGACTGCAGTCATAAACTTAAAGGAGAGCTAATCATTAAACTGCAAAATTGAAAAAATTGGTTTGTAGTGTATTGAAAATTTGATAATGATGGTATAAGGCAATGTCAATGGCTTTGAGCATTGGCTTTTGCAGTTTTGCAGAGCATTGGCTTTGGCTTTTTGGCTTTTGTCACAACATGTGGGGCTTTTATCTGCTCTTGTTTGTACCATTCTCAATGGCTGTGACTTTTGGCAGATTTAGTTTGTATGATTGGAAAAATGACTTTCAAAGGCATTGAGAAGGCTAACTGTCTGGGGATTCTGAAATTAAACTTTTATATTTATTGATAGCAGTTCATTGACAGGTGCTGATTTGTGCAGGTTTGTCACACTCACATGTATGCAGTCCTGTTGCAACACCTTGACTTGTGATCTCAACCAACATCAGAAATGTCTTGTTGGTTTGTGAGCTCTGCATAATTATGCCCATGCCACTATGCATCAACTATTGGTCACAGAACCTGGAAGTGCTGGAGGCAAGCATGGGTTTTGCTTCAGAGGTGGGAAGGCTGCCCTTCTGCTCCATCATGCTTTCACCATCTGTGGTGGTTGTAGTAGATATGGATGGGGAAGCTATACTGCCTCCAAAGATTAGGAAACATTCTTCCTATGTTCATCCAGCGAAGCAGGCCACCATGCCTATATTGAAGTATGCCAATTACTCATTTCAGAATACACTCTTTCCAAACATTTATGACCCACTTTAGCATGCCTATATGCCAAGCAAAAGCTTCTATATGTTGATACATATTTTGTAAAGCTCATACATTCTGTGTCTTGCCCACATTTAAAATACTGATGTCATGGTAGTGTGCTGAACATGGGCTGCAATGCCCAGTGTGCAGTCATAATGCTAGAAGATAGCACTATGTGCAATGAACATTTCTTTCACCTTTTCTCTATTTAAATCTAGACAGTAGACACCATGTGAGTAGCCTGAAGTTTAGCCAGCCAGTAACATGCTGTGATGCAAATAGCAAGTGTTCTGTGCTTTATTTTCAGGTTGACAAGTCCAGGCTATCAGGACACTTGATGCAGTGTGTTCTTGACCAGTACTTAGACATGTACCATTTCTGATTTACATATGTTGTGTCAAATAATACTACTGAAGCAATTGGACCTGCCCCTTAAATGGCTATCCATTACAAAATCAACTGCTCTTGATGTCAAGTTCCAAAACTGCTTGTTTGGAAAATTTCAGATCCAGTAATCAAGATCAAAGGCTTTACCATTGCTTTAAAAACAGGTCTGAAAGCTTCATTCCATTGTGTATTGGCAAAATGATGCACATACATGCACACAAACACATGATAAGCACCCCTTCAACTGATGCCTTACTACACTTGTCTTACACACTGGATGCTTCAGGTAAGCAGATGGTTATAGAGCATTACAGGTCTGTCATTGTCAGCAATATCATACACTTGAAGGTGGCTGGATGATTGGAATCAACAAAGCCAGGAGACAGTGGGGCTCCAACCAGGTAGCAGCACCACTACCCATGCGCCCGTGCGCGCCCCCTCGTCGCCAGCCTACTAGGGCGCCGGGCACTGGTCGTCGTCCAGCGCCGTGTAGCTGTCAGAGAACATGAGGTCGGCGGGCAGCGGCAGGTCGGGCCAGTCGGTCAGCCGCGCCAGGCCCCAGTAGCGCGAGCGCAGCAGGTGCGCCGCCATCTTGGGCTGCCGCTGCCGCGTGAAGATGCCCTTGCGGTTGCCAACCACGCGCGTCGTGTCCTGCTTGGTCATGAAGTCGGCGAAGTTCCAGATCATCTCGCCGGCGAACCAGCCCCGCGCGCGCATCGCCTCGAACGCGTGGAAGTTGCGCGCCATCAGCTGCGTCTGGTACTCCTCGGAGAAGACGAAAGTGGGCTCTTCGTGCAGGCCGGCCACCGTGTCGGCGCCGTACTCGGAGTTGATCACCGGCTTGTGGAACGTTTCGTGCCAGAGCGTGAAGAAGTGCTCCGACTGCAGCTCGATGACCTCCGTGTGGCCCGTGTCCGAGTACCAGCCGAAGTAGCGGTTGGCGCAGACCACGTCAATCAGTGGCGCAACCAGCTCCGCGTCCGGGTACGTGTTGAGCACGGCCGTGATCGGCCGGGTGCCGTCCAGGGTGCGCGCGTAGTTCACGAGGCGCGTGTAGTAAGGTACGGCCTCGGGCTGGCTGGTCTTGGCCTCGTTGCTCAGCGACCAGATGAAGACGGACGGCCGGTTCTTGTCGCGCCGAATCATGCCGTCGAGCGCGGCGAGGTGCTCGTTCAGCAGGCGGTCGTCGCCCGCGGTGGCAGAGTAGTCGAGCGACACGGCCGGCGTTTCGTCGATGACCAGGATGCCGCGCGCGTCCGCCGCGTCCATGATCTCCTCCGCGTACGGGTAGTGCGACGTGCGGAAGCAGTTGGCGCCCACCCACTCGATCAGGTTGAAATCCTTGACGATGAGCGGCAGGTCGAGGCCCTTGCCGCGCAGGTCGCTGTCCTCGTGCATGCCGAAGCCGCGGATGTAGACGGGCCGGCCGTTGACGGCCAGCGTCGTGGCGTTCCAGCTGAACTGGCGGATGCCGAACTTCTGGCGATACACGTCGCGCGCGCCGGACGCCGCCGCCATGCGCACCTCCAGCGTGTACTGGCGGCCGGGCTGGGCGTCCATCAGGTACGGCCACCACAGCTGCGGCGCCGTCACGCTGATGGAGCCGGTGGAGCCGGCGGCCTCGGCCATCACGCTACCGTCGGGCGTCGCCAGGCTGACCTCAATGGTGGCGCTGTCGTCGGACAGCCGCGAGCTGGTGCTGACGTGGTACTTGACCGTGGCGGTGCCGTCGTTCTCCAGCGTCGTCGTCACGACCACGTCGTCGATGAACGTCGGCGGCGTCGTGTACAGCACCACCGGCCGGTGGATGCCGGCGTAGTTGAAGAAGTCGAAGTTGTACTCGAGCGTGGCATAGCCGGCTGGGTACACATAGTTGGTGTTGTTGTCCTTGTACACGGTGCGACCCTGCGGCACGGTGACGTCCGTCAGTGTGTTGTTGACGGCGACGGTGACGAGGTTGGCCTGGCCGGGCTGGAGGCGGTCCGTGACGTCGGCGGCGAACGGCAGGTGGCCGCCGCTGTGCGTGACCACCAGCGCTCCGTTCACGTACACGCTGGCCGTGTAGTGCGCGCTGCCGACACGCAGCACGGCGCGCTGGCCGGCCCACGAGCGTGGCACCCACGCCTCGGTCGAGTACCACGCCCAGCCTAGGTGGTCGCGCACGCTCGCGTGCTCGGTGATGTCGTTGTAGCTGGACGGCACGGGCATCGGCAAGCACGGCGCCGGAGGCGGCCAGCGGCGCCGCGAACCAGCGCTCGCGGAAGCCGCGCTCCGGGTCGGCGCGTGGCGCCAGCCGAAACTGCCAGACGCCGTCCAGGGAGCGGAGCTCGCGGTACTCGCTGTCCTGCGGCTGCAGCGACGCGAACACGCCGTCGTCGGCGAGCCGGGCCCGCTTCGGCCGGTCGGCCGAGGCCGTCACCAGCACCGCCAACAGCAGGCTCCACTTCATCGGGGAGAACGGCGGGCGTGACAGGCAGCCGGCGACCCCACCGCGGTAATGCGACACGCGATAGGCGCCGCCCGCCGCCGCGCCGGCCTCGGCTAGAGGTGGGCCGCCCGCCGCGGTACTTGACGCCCGGTACTGGGACTGGCGTGCCCCGGGCTTATCTGCCTGGGACGTGATTTGTTCAGCCCGGCGCGGCCGACTCGGCCGCGGGTAGTTTCATCTCGCTGGCCCATTGATGATGCCAGTGTTTTGCGTTATGCGTCTGTCTGCGACCACTTCGTCAGTCATTAAAGCAGACAAAATGCTGTCTAGTCCAGCCTTGCTTCGATAAAAGATGAATGTGTTCCATCGGATGGCCGTTTTCGCTCTTGCATAACTGCGTTGTTTGAGACGTCACCGATGTCCATCTCTTCTTTATCGGGCATTGCACGAGCCCGTGTCTTTGTCCGATTGTAAAAGAGGGCATCCACTTGAGTTCGCTTCTTCGTCTGTTTTTCATGTTTGCTTGTCGGTAAAAACAATGATGTAATGCGCTTTTACCCGACATTGACCTGGCTC